GGAGAAGAATTTCAATAGGTTTGTATCTGCAATAGTGACTACAATTCTTTGTTCTTGCACTTCCTTCTGAAAAGAAATGATGAGAAAAAWGGTCTGAATCTTACAGAAAACAAAATGAATGTAGGAGGATGTAACATCACATATTTATTGAGGCTCATATAAAGGATGTCAGTGTTACCACAATGAAATAATATTCATGAAAAAAACGGAGAAAATTTGAAATCCCATTGCCACTGCTCTATAAGCTTTAGAGACTGTGGCATAAAAATGGTTGGTTTTGTTYTCTCCTCCTTTGCTAAGAACTCCCAGGGCTCGCGCTGCTTCTGGGACTGCCACGATAACTGAGCTGACCCTTCCACAGAGCRGCCTRCTCCCTCCACGGGGCTTAAGTACAGAATGCACCTTTAGAAACACACTGTTTTTATCAAATARTTCACTCATTCCTTTGGAATACTTATATTGCAGGTACCTCATTGAAGGACTTTGCCAAATTCAGGCGTCACTCATTCTAAGACAGTTTCCCCTTGCTCCTGTGATCAAGGGTGGTTGACCTTCCCCTTCAAGAGACAAACTAGCACTTCCATAAAAATCCCACCATTATCAGCACAGCAACTAAACTTAGGGATTACTGCAGGTTCTGCTCAGATGCCTGAAACAAATATTGCTCTGCAGGGTCCCAGACCCTTCTCCTCTTCCCCAATCCTTCCATGCACTGCAGCACCATGGAGGGACCCATGAAAACCCTTGTCCTACCTCAGAGGCTCTACAGCTGCTCAGGGCTGCCTGCTCCAGTGTTTCACCACCATTTCTTTCATTCTAACTTCCCATAGTTCAATTTGGGCCTATTGTGTCTCATCCCATCTCTGCATTGCACAGAGGACAGTGTCACTTGTGTCCTTAACCCCCTCCACCTTCAGTCAGGTGTTTGTACACCCTGACCAGATCCCCCCAGCCTGCTCCAGTCCAAGAAAAGCCAGCAGAGCTCTCCCAGCCTCTCCTGATGCCCCGTGTGCTCCAATCCCTTCCTCACCTTAGTGGCCCTTTGCCGGAGCTGCTCCAGTGCGGACACGCCTCGCTCATCCTGGGATCCCAGAACCAGCACTCCAGGTGGGTCTCACCAGGGCCAAGTGGGGGACAAGGATTTRCATTAGYGGGAGATGAACRACCCCACACAATTCACTGCCTTCATCCTCAGTGCCATCTTCAACTTACCAGGGGTCTGCTGGAATCCAACCCAGCACACAGGAGACAGTCTAGGAGGTTCCTGGAGCATGTGCAAGAGAACTTCCTGACAAAACTGGCAGGTGAGGCCACCAGGAGAGGTGTCCCAGGGGATCTGCTCTTTGCAAAGAGGGGAGCACTGGTGGGAGATGAGGTTGTCAGAGGCCACCTTGGGCACAGCGACTGCCAAGTGATTCAATTTCGATTGTCGGTAACGGGAGAAAGGAAGAATGGAAGAATGGAAAAATGGAAGAAAGGAAGAAGTGGGTCAGCAAAACCACTGCCTTGGATTCCTGGAGGACAGCCTTTGCTCTGTTCATGATGCTGGTTAAGAGAAACCCTTGGGAGGTAGTCCTGAGGGGCCAAGTGGCCCAGGAAAGCTGGACATTCCCAGGGAAGGAGAGAGGCCGTAGAGGCAGAGGAGCAGCTCATCCCAATGTGCCCTAAGCACATCGAGGGAAGGCTGGTCTGGATAAACAGCAGTCTTCCACTGGGACACAGGCAAGAACAGAGGGTTTAGCAGCTGTGGAGGATGGCTGAGGCAACAGGAAAAATACAGCGAGGTCATGAGCTTATTCAGTGAGAAAACTAGAAAGGGAAAAGTCCAGCTATAACTCAATCAGGCCACTGGCATAAAAGTGAAGAAAAAATGTTTTTCCAAACGCATGAATAACAAGAAGAAGGCCAAGGAGAATCTCCATCCTTTATTGCATGCTGCGGTGGGAACATTGTCTCCAGAGATGACAAAAAAGGCTGAGGTACTCAAAGCCTTCTTTACCTCAGCCTTTCAACAAAACCACCAGTTATCCTCAGAAATCTGGCCCCCCTGAGCTGGAAGACAGAAACAGGGAGCAGAATGAAGTTCCCCCAGTGCAGCAGGAAGTCGTTAGTGAGCCGCTGCGCTGCCTACACATGCATAAGTCTAGGGAGGTGCCATCGTTCCCCGTACRGCTACGGAGGGAGCTGGTGAAGGAGCTCACAAAACCACTCCCCATCCTTTATCAGCAGTTCTGCTTTGCTGGAGAGCTCCTGACCGACTGGAGGTTGGCCAGTGTAACACCCATCTAAGAGAAGGCTTGCAAGGACAGCTGGGGGGACCACAGGCCCGTCAGCCTGATCTCAGTGCCAGGGAAGATTATGGAACAGGTTACCCGGAGTTTGAGCACACGATGTGTGCTGCACCACCACGGCATCAGGCACAGACAGCATGAGTTCAAGCAGGTCCTGCTTGACAGCCCCAATCTCCTTCTATGGACACCTAATGGATGGGGAAAGGCTGTGGATGTTGTGGAGCTGGGCCTTCAGGAAAGCCTCTGATCATGGCCTCCCACAGCATTCTTCTCCAGAGCATTGTCCTGGCAGCCCACGGCTTTAACTGTTCCACATTTGCTCAGGAAAAACGTCCCGGATGGCCGGGCTCAGAGTGGTGGTGGAGTTAATCCAG